TTTTGAGGCTTGGGAAGCTTTAGAACAGTCCCAGAAGGTGGCGATTTCGTCCCCTCTGACCCCCGGGAAGACAGGGTGAAACTCCAAAGGGTCCTAGAGTGTGTTCCATAAGATGGACCTCTCCATAAGGCTCACCAATTTTTAGGAGAAGAAAACAGATATTTTTTCCTGTTTTCTTCTCCTAAAAATTTGGTGCGTCTTATGGAGAGGTGCGTCTTATGGAGTGAAAAATACGATACCTTCTTAGAACCAAATTTGCCCCAGCCTGTAAAATGCAAGCAGTCTGCTTGGAGGGGAGAATACAGTATTCCTTATTCTGTCTGGGACACTGCTGGATAGTATTGCTCTTGCTAGTAAAAAGCAGTCAAAAATGAATCAGGAGATAGATCAGGGGTTTTGAAGTCGGTTTAAAGGCACCTGGTAGTCACATAGTTTTTGGGTCAGTGAGTGCATCCTCTTGGGGAAATGTTTAATCCATTTTTAAACTGTGTTGGTCAAGGGGGTGTCCTGAACTCTTAGAATCGATCAGGGGTTTTGAAGTCAGTTTAAAGGCACCTGGTAGTCACATAGTTTTTGGGTCAGTGAGTGCATCCTCTTGGGGAAATGTTTAATCCATTTTTAAACTGTGTTGGTCAAGGGGGCTTCCTGAACTCTTAGAATCATTTGAGGCTTTGTCCTGTGCCCACCTGCCTTCCTGTTGGCTGGCTCTCACAGCCACTAGCTGCTGTTGCTATTATGTTGTTTTTAACATTATTTTTATTTCCTGCAGTCTGGTATAGTGCTTGTTCACTACAACACAGAGAAAAAACATTCAAACAGAGGTAGCGAACCAGCAGCTAGGGCCGGCAAGAGGGAAGGAACACCAATGAACAGCAAAAATAAACTGACAGAGAAATTGACAAGCTTGTTAGCTTCTAGGCTTGTCAAGGAGAGAGCACTTTTCCCCACACAATTTTTCTCTTTTTTGCTGGCTCCCTTTTCAGATTGGACTGCAAGGTTTTCCTGCAGCCCAGAACCTGTGATCCTAGCATCCATCAATTGACAAACCTTACAGACAAAATGTACACTGACAGAGCTGTTCACATATGCCAAAATGATTCGGAATAAATCAGTGCAAGGTTTTCCTGCAGCCCAAAACCTGTGATCCTAGCATCCATCAAGTGACAAACCTTACAGACAAAATGTACACTCACAGAGCTGTTCACATGTGCCAAAATGATTCGGAATAAATCAATTTCACAAGCAATTTGAAATAACAGTAAAATATCTTGTTTCCTGGGCAAAAATAAAAAATAAAAAATCCATGCTTCCCTGTGCATCATGTAGTACAATTTTTTTAAATCAATTCAAAGCATGTGAAATACAATTCAAAAACAGGGGTCTTTTTTCTCCATGTCTAACCTAATCTGAAGTACAATGGTGCCTCAACTTACGGATGACCCTACTTACAAAATTTCGACTTACGAAATTCCCTGTGCATCATGTAGTACAATTTTTTAAAATCAATTCAAAACATGTGAAATCCAATTCAAAAACAGGAGTTTTTTTTCTCCATGTCTAACCTAACCTGAAGTACAATGGTGCCTCAACTTTCGGATGACCCTACTTACAAAATTTTGACTTACGAAAAGCTCCAGCCGCAAATTTTGCTTCAACTTGCAGCCGGAGCTTCCACTTATGAACGGAAAAAGGCAGGGGGAAAGGGCGGGAAATTCAAAACGTTGGTGGCAAAGAGGCTGCTACTTTGTCCCAATGGTTAGGAAAAGGGAGGCTCTGCCTCCCAGGCTTTCAGCGCTGCTGCCACCACCGCCGCTGGAGGTCTCACCGGCTTCCCTGCCACCATCAGAGGCCTCCCGGGCTTCCCTGCTGCGGGGAAGCTGGTGAGGCCTCCGGCAGCAGCAGTCACAGCAGCGGAGAAGCCCGGGAGCCTTTAGAGGCTTCAGACTGATAAGGTGCTTTTTCCTTTTTAAAAAGTTGTTCTGGTTGGGTTTTGAAGGGTAGGTTTGGGCTGGGGGAGTTATGTTTCTGTGTTGTTTTGTTTTTTCATGATTTTTTTGCAGTCCCAGCGTGGGACTTGCTCCAATATTTCTTTCTGGATTTGTTTGTTTTGAGGGTTTTGTTACTGTTGTTTTTGTAGTCCCAGTGTGGGACATGCTCTGTTTATTTTCTTTTCCCTTTTTTGGAATTTTTTTTCTTTGGCCGGAACGGATTAATTGGTTTTCAATGCATTCCTACTAGAAATGGTGCTTCAACTTACGAAAATTTCGATTTACGGCTACCGTTCCAATATGGATTAATTTTGTAAGTCGAGGCACCACTGTACCTAATTCTATGAATATGGCCATTCATGCATTGCACATGTCTTTCTTTACATGAGTCATAAAGACATGCTAAAAACTCACAAGAGGCTGTTTTAACTAATTTCACACATCCCCAGTCCAGTCATAGAAGCAAACTATGTTACCCTCTGGATTGGAATGGGCACCTGGCGAACCTCCAGGTGTGATTACACTTAAAGTTCTGCAAGTCTTCACCATTAGTTATGTTGACTAGGACTTACAGGTGCAGTAATCTAGCAAAATCTGGAAGGCTGCAGGTTAGCTGTCCATGACCAGAAGTAGGCAAGGTGTGACCCTCCAGTTGTTGCTCGATTGCAGCTCTCATCCTTAGCCAGTCCAGAAAATACTAAGGAATAATGGAGATTGCATTCCAACAACATTGGGAGTGTTGCACTCTGCTGTTAGGGTCTGAAATCCCAAAACTCCACAGTAGCTTTGTAAATGTCTTGGAAATCCATTGCTTCCATTTTTGGAAAAGGCAGATAGTAACAAATGGACAGCTTGTTAGCTGCATACTGAAAGACACACAGTTGAGAATCTTCTGATGACACTTGGTCAGAGACAACCATGCATGACAAGAATTACATGTCATCAAGTCAATTCTGACTTACTGTGAGTCTTGTAAGGTTTTTTTTTTTTTTTAGATAAAGACTCAAAAGTGGTTTACTACTCCCTTCTATCGGTGGCCCTCTGGGACTGTGCAGCTTTCCCAAGGCCACACAGGCTGGTTCTTCTCCTGGGAGGCACAGCAGGGAATCAAACTCCCAGCCTAGACAGATACCTAACTCTCTGAACTATTCAGCCAAACACAAAGACAGCCATAAAAGTGAGAAAATAAACTAGCACCAGACATTTAAACGGAATGGAATACAGTATAAGCACGCTGGTCGACTCTTGATCCTGCAGAGACAATGCAGGATGCTTCTGGTAAGATGGAAACAAAAACACTATTTGCCCAGAGCAGCAAAAACCTTGGGCTAGTCTTCCTCAAAAGAATGCATAATTTGTTCATCCACCCACCTGCCCTGTGTATCACTAGTTTCTCTCATAGATAACTTGGCTGCTGAGAGATAACAGGATAGCAGCCACAAAACAGGGGCACTGAGAAGGTTGGATGATGACTTTATCTGACCACTCAAATCTCACACACAGATCTTCTGTATATGAGATTTTAGTTCATTGACTCTGCAACTCTGAAAATGTATTTCAGGGTGCAAGGAGGGAATGGAATGGAATTATCTGGAAAATCCAGGGGGTGGGGTGGGCTGAGAATGGTTGTTTTGCAGCCGGTCCCTCTCATCAATTGTGTACATGGAGTTCACGAACTTAGATGTGAAAAGTGACCAGCGTTTCAGTGTTTGCAGCTACCTCCAGAAATTCCTTGCCCACTTTCACGGGTTCGTCTTAACCCGTGTGCAACGGGTGCCTGCTATAGCAGAGAGGCCACTCCCGGATGGGAGGTATGATTTCAAAACCTTGAGGTGGTCTGTCCGACAGCGGAGCGCTAAACACGGCTTCCTGCAGGCTTTCCTCTTAATATCCTTAATCCTAAACTTGCTCTCACAAAACCCGAAGCAGAGTTGCCGCTCTTCTCCCCAGACCCCCCCCTCCCGTTCCGTCCCTTCTTTACAGAAACCCAGGGCGTGACATTCTCCTCCTGATCCGGGTGAATTGACAGGAAAAGCTGCGTTCGCACGGTTGGAATCCTCGCCTGACGGGCAGCTGTTCCAGGCGCGGAAGCCTTCCAGTACGGGGGGGGGTGACCCTCATATTCTCGTTCCAGCCCCCCAAACGACAGGTGGACCTGGCGATGAGTGAAGTTCCACCTTCGAAGCCCAGCTTCCTCCTTGGCCAGCGAGGTCGGGCTGCGCGCCAAGGAAAGTTTTCGCCCCACGCTACCCGTGCCCGCTCCGAAGGGGGTCAAGGGGGGGGGAGAGGAGGCGACGGGCGTCCCCCTCATGGAGTTTGACAATGGCGTCACGGGCAGCCCCGACTCCGCTGGTGCGCGCCCGAGGCAGCCTGGGCTCATGCGGCCCCACCGACAGCGTGTGTGTGTGTGTGTG